AAATTCTGGGTCTCCAAGAAAATTTCTGCACAGCCTATCACCCCTTGACACATCTTCCCTGTGTCCCTGGGGGCCCCTGATGCTTTCTCCTTGGGTGATAGTAACACGCAGAGCACTTACACAAAACTCCCTCTTTGGACATGCCTCACGTCAACCTGTCACAGGCCTGGCTGCAGCGAGCACCTCCCTATGACGCAGAATGCTTCTTGGGAATTATCTTACTCCTCTGGATAGTGAGTTCATCAGTGTTTTGCTTCTCGTCCCAATACTACCGTGACCCTCTCTGATTACACAGAAATCACTGTCTATCACATATATCCTGTTAAGCACTGAAGACCCTATTGAAATTGGAGTTCTACAGATGCCAAAAGCTGTACTTTCCATCAGGCATATGGCAAGCTTACTGCCTCAATGCACATCTGGGGCCACTGGAACTCCTTCCTCTCTGGTCCCAGCCTTAAGGTGGAGAACTCCATGTAGCTTCTTGTCGTTTTCCCTCAGCTATCTTTGCTTCACAAGGTTTTAGCCCAAAGCAAGAGTGCAATCCCAAAGCCACTGAGAAATGAACTTTCTGCTACCTGGAAGCGTTAAGTGAGTAAATCAGCTTTTCCACACCCTCATTCCTAGGGGCACACACCTCAAAAGTTACTAGGCTGGAGAGACACTACCTTCCAGTGACCCACTCATCTCCCAGCCACGGAGAAGAGGGAAGACCAAAAAGGGAGAGTGAGAAAGAGAATGAGAGGGATGGTCAGCTATGAGGGGTGCGGGCAAGTAGCCCGCAAATGTTGATGCCTCCCTTCCCATCTTGCCACACAGTCTTTTTCTTTTGTAGCACAGCCTCCGTTAAGAACTCCTCGGCTAAGGATGAAGATGTAGGCACCTTTACCCCCAGAGCCAGTTCCTTAATTGGCTGGCTTTCTGAGATGCAGACCACCCTAGAATCTCATCTAGGTTTACTAGAAGTTAGTTAAATCTTCCTTTCTATGTCTTTCCCTTCATTCCATCCCCCAAACCCACCAAACACTAAGGGAGAGCTCCCTTTGGATGTCTGGGGGGTAAACTTAGCTCATTTTTCTAGGAGACCCAGAAGTGACTTCTCAGTATAGTTATCACTGTGTCTGCCTCTGTTACACTGTGTTGCTTTGCTTAAACAGAAATGAAGACCTGGACATCGGACTGTGCCTTTATATTCTGAGTGGGGTGCTGCCCCATGCAAAAAAATCCAGAGAGGTAGTGAGGTGTCAGAGCTAAACACTTGGTGCTGGGTTTTGCTGATGCTGGTATAATGTGACACAGTACAATTACATGCTAAATGTTGCATTTTCTCTATATAACATCTATTTTTCCTGATACCGTGCCTTTGCCATTTTGATAATGCTATTTTGATTGAGTGAATTTTATTTCCTTTGTATTCCCCTAGTGAACAATATATTAAGGTAGATGCCCTTTATCTGGGTACTCCTGGTAGATTAGCTGTTACATCTCCCTTCCCTTTTTCACAGTGAACCTGTATTCAGTTATTCTCACTCTGAGAACTCTCTAATAACAATTTCTTTTCCACAATTAACAACACAGCTGTTACACTTCCCTTCCTTTTTTTCACAGTGAACCTGTATTCAGTTATTCTCACTCTGAGAACTCTCCAATAACAATTTCTTTTCCACAGTTAACAACAAAGCTCTGTTTTTAAATGAAGAGATTAAGTTCTTTTTAAATGCCTAAAGGCACATTCTGACAAGTTTTCTACTGCTTTAGCTTTTTTGATTTATGATATATGCAAAGCAAATAAATTTAATAAAGCCTATTCTGTAGTCCATCTCTGTCTGTGACATGGGACGGGAAAAAAAATAGGATATTGACAACTCAGAGCTGAAGGTTGTCAGAGAAGTAAAATGTTCTTAAGAGGTGGTGCTGAGAATAAAGGGAGTCCACGCAGGTGTGCCTGACCAAGCTGATGGCTTTCAGGTGCGCACTGATATTTGGTATGGGGGAGAAGGGCCATTGAAGAGGTTTTGGGTTTGAACACCTGGAGAATAAAGAGGGGTTGTGGTTGGGGGGGGAGCAGAAGAGACAAGGTGATTGGTGGTTGCACTCTAAGCCTGCGTCAGGGACAAAGTCCAAGTCCTATAGCAAGATGGGCTACTGGAATAAGCACTTTTCAGAAGCAAGGGGCCCTACTGTGCTCAGGTAACAAAATGGCATGGAGAGAGAAAGGGAAAGGGGTTATAGGCCAGATATTGAGCCTGGTTCATCTGTAATATGTTCAGGGTTTAGAACAAGAGTTCAACTTGGGATCCGCATACCATATGTCTAAGTATTTGAAATATTTAAATAAACAAATACAGCATGTTTTATTTAATGGTTTATCTCCTTCCATGTCAAATGTATGTTCATAATGACCTCAAAGGCCAGGTTGGGTTCTAGAATTCTCAGCCTCCTGTAAGTCCTGCCCCAGTGATGTGGGAAGAACTACTCCCCTTCCCCCTCCCACTTTAGAAATATTTCATACCTACACAAAACTGTAGAAAACATTACTATAAACATCCATGCATCTACTATTCAGCTTAAGAAATGTAACATTACAAATATAGTTGATGCATGCTGTGGAGCCTTCTCTACTAGAATGCCCCTCCCTAACTACCATCTCAAATGTGCTTGTCTTTCTGTATGCTACACTTGTATGCATCTCTTACATGCACACCTTTTAGTCTCTCTATATGTACCCACAATCAATTTATGGTGATCATTTGTATGTTTTCTTAGAAGTCATATACATGGTATCATGTTTGTATCCTTTTGGACCCGACTTTTTTCTTTATGCATTTTTACCCCTAGGCCTCAGCCCCTGTGAATTCTAGTCTCCTCCCCAGCCCATCCCTTGCTGTCCCTTTCAGTTTACCTGAAACAGCCCCGAGCCAGTGAATTAACCCTGGCTCTACAGGAGGTGCTGAACTTCTTCCTCTGTTGCCTGAAACCAGTGGTTCTCAAACCTTAGTGTTCATCAGAAGTCCCTGGGGGGCTTGTTAAAACACAGATTGCTGACTCCACCCTAGATTTTCAGATTTCGTAGGTCTTGGGTGGAGTCTGAGAATTCCCAGGTAATGCTGATGACACTGCTTGGGGGCCAAACTTTGAGAACCACTGCTCCAAATCAAAGTCTGGGCCCAAGCTCAGCAATACCATGTGGCTTCTAGGCAACCTGGGCCATCCATGAAGTTTTCTTCAAAACTGTGCTCTAGAGCAGTATTGTCCAATAGACATATAATGTGATCTACATGGGTAATTCTAAATGTTCTACTAGCCACATTAGAAAATAAAAAGAAACCAACAAAAACTTTAATATTTCATTTTAATTCAAGTATTATCATCTCAACATGTAATCAGTATGAAAATCATTAGTAAGATATGCAATATTATTTTCACACTTACAGACATATTAATAAGACTAGCCATATTACAAGTGCTCAGCGGCCACAACATTACTAGTGACTAAGGTAGTAGACAGCACAGTTCTAAAGACTTGAGCCCCATCTCTCTCTTTTCAAAAATGGTTTTAAACTTGACATTTTAATTGACTTTTGGCTGCAGTAAAAGAATTTAAAACAATCTTACCAAATGGTGGAAAGTAATATCTTTCAATGAAGGTATGGTGGACCAAAACAAAGAGGTAAAAGAGAGATTTGAGTCAGAATTATTTATTGAAAAATCTCCCCATGTTTCAATTTATTCATTTAAAACAAACTCTTATTTTTAACTTGAACAAACACTGTCAAATATATTTGTGAAAGATAAAAGTTAGATGTCACTAGATACCACTTTTGAGGTAAAGAACTTCGGAATGATATGTGTTAAAATTCTCGCAGGCATCTGAATAAAATAAAATAAAAACAATGAACAGCAGAGTCTTCTTTCTTCATCTTCTTACTATTCTTCCCAACTACAGAATGAAATGAGAAAAAAATAAACAATGGTACATTAAGCAGCACCAGTGACTTTCTAAATAGAAGAAAATGGCCAGCTCTGTCTATATCTGCAACATTTGTGTGCTATATCTTAAACAAGCAGAGAAGAACACCTTTTCCTTTTGTAACTCGCAAGCTTAGATATCAGGGTGCTTGTGGAACTGATGGTTCCAGTCAAATGATCACACCAACCTTGTCTCCCCAGCACCAGAAAAGCTTGTTGTTGTTATTTTTACATGAGAGGCAATTCTGGGATTTAAATAAATCTCTCGAGCTTTAACAGCCTGTGCTAGTTCCACAAATGATACTCCCTTACCCTCGCAGACCCTTGGTTTCCATATCTACCATATGAGAAAGAAGCTGTTATGAAATATACAGCTGTGAAAATGCAAAAAAAAAAAAATTAACCATTTAAATATACTCAAAGACAGATATGCCTTAAGACTTAATTACACACATTCTTTTCATTTGTCACATAAAATACAAAGATATATAGCTAAACAAATATTTAGGTATTAGTCATTAAATGTGGTCCTACTTGAAATTCTTAGCTTTTTGCTATTTGTAAGTAGTCACTTTGTAAAAGGCATTGAGTTGCCTCCTAGTTACTATGGGAGCCTGCATTTCTGTGGCTAAGTAATGAAGGCCCAACTAATGTGTGGCCCAACAAAGTTAGATGCTGCGTCTGGCAACTGTTTTCTACACAAATATTGGTCTTAGGTAGTAGGTCTGATACATTTGACACTTGTTAGTAGTCCTGCAGCTAGAGGACAAAAGACCTCAACATGAACAAATGAGTAGCCATGAAGTATATTTCAGAACACACTGAAGTTCATATTACTAGGTACATGAATATTTTAGTGACATTTTAAGTAAGTTAAATTGAAGTTTTAAACTAAAACATTTTCTTAATTAATCTATTGGGAATTTTTAAAAAATAAAACTGTCAGTAACAGGTAAATGCCAGGAATAGTTGAGTGATCCTCAAAGCTATACACAGATACCTGGATTTTCTCAGCTTCCCCTCTGCTGCGTCTAGGTCCCTTTGGAGTTCTTCACCTTGTTTTTCTCATCCTTCTCTTTTTCTTGTTCTTTCTCTTCCTCGCCTGCAGAATCTTGGGCCTTTTCATCCCACTTTTCATGCTGATATTTAGTGACTTCTTTAGTGGAGAATAATAGAGACGTTGGGACCAGACTTTCGCAGAAAATATAGCCCAATTTATAACTAGCAGCGGCATCCCGTACTCCACCCTCAGGAGAAGCAGGAGGATAGACTTAACTAAGGAAGGAATAGCTGGCCATCTTCCCACTGGTTTTCACAACAGTTCCATGGACCCCACGTTGCTGCTGCTTGATCATTTCCACAGGGACACTATTTCCCTTTTTTCCAGTAAATATCCCACCCAAAGCTGCTGATTATTTCTAGTTCTTTGGAGAAGAGATTAGAATCATTGTGTCTGATCTCATTCCAAGTGTTTTGGTCAGAACTTTGTTGGGAAAATATTTGTTACCTCAAAAGACAAATTCTATGGTGAAGCTCATTGGTTCCTCATCCCCCTGAATGTTTCATTTTTACCAAGGGCCAATGCATCACTTCATCATTTGGGGATCAACTTTCTAAGAATCTTTATACTTTGAAAAGCCATGAACCAAAAAGGATGTCTGCCATTTGCCTGTTCTTTTCTTTCCGGCGTCCCTTCTGTTTCCTGCCGAGCTCCCTCTTGAACTCCTATCTACCCGGCCATTCATCTGTGGGCCCCCCAAATGGCATCCATGATCTCAGATCTCCTATCAAATACAGGTTGGTAGAGGGCAGCATGTTTTCCCAAAATCATAGAGGTCGTTAGAGAACTGGGCTTCGACTCATTGGGACACATTTGGCCTTAAGTTTCAGGAGGGCCCTGACCCAAACTTCACCACCCGAGGCCCCGAGGCCCCGACCCCGGCTTCACCACCCTCTTCACCAGCTATGCGCGCACCTCGGCCCTGCCTGGAACCCTCGGATGCACGGGTCCCTGCCTCCCCGCCACTGCAGGTAGCCCGTTCCTTACCCTCGGGAGCAGCAGCCTCCTCTGTGGCCAGTTCCTCTGCGGCCTCCTCCTCTGCAGCCGGTTCCTCTGTGGCCGGTTCCTCTGCGGTCTCCTCTGCAAGCTCCTCCTCTGCGGCCTCCTCTGCGTGCTCCTCTGAGGCCTCCTCTGCGGACTCTTCTGCAGGCTCCCTGGTCATCTCAGCCTGGTCTGCTGGCACCTCAGGCTCTGGGACCGACGCGGCCTCCTGGAGCAGGCCCAGGCCCTCGCCCTCAGGGCCCGTGGCCCCCACGCCCAGCCTCTCACGCACCAGCAACAGTGCGGGCTCATTTGAGCCACTGGGCGCCGCAGTGCGGAGCCTCCGCATCAGGCGGCCGCCACGCATCCCGATCAGGATGTGGTCATTGTGATAGATGCGGTGGAGAAGGGAGTGGACCATGTCCAGAAACTCCCCGCGAAAGCCTATTATGGGGTAGCGACGGGTGGCCGTGACCAAGTCAAAGTTGCCCGCCTCATTCCTCTCTTCCTCCTCCTCCTCCTCCTCTTCCTCCTCCTCCTCCTCTTCCTCCTCCTCCTCCTCCTCCTCCACCATCTCCACCACTATCCTGATCTCTGAGTCTTCCTCGGGGTTCCTGACCACAGGGGCTGCGGCCAAGCCTGCCGCCTGCTCACCCTCCTCCTCCCCGAGGCCTCTCGTGGGCCCTGTGACTCCGGCCACCTCAGCCACGGGGACCATGTCGCCACTGTCGGGGCCAGAGTCACCAGCCTCCCGGTCACCTCCCGCCTCGGCCTGTGCTCTCTCCTGGCTCACTGGGGCCTTCTGGTCCTCTTGGATCGGGTCTTGATCCCCTGTGGCAGACATGACGCCAGTCAGTGCCTCAACTGGAGTGGCGACTAGGCTGAGGCGACGATGGTGAAGTCGGTGGCCTCTGAGGTGGTTGTGGCTGAGGGGAGGTGAGGGTCTGGCTGCTGAGAGAATAAGAGTCTGTCTCCTTACTGAGGGAATAAGAGTCTGTCTCTGAGGACACCCTAAGGTGGGAAGGGCAGGGAGCCAATCCCAGGAGCCTCCCACCAAGGCTGGCCTGAGAGGACTTAGACAAGGCGGGAAAGATTTCGGTTGGCAGGCGACAGGGGGCGGGACTGGGAGGGTCAACCAGGGGTTCTCAGTGAGCTCTAAGCTCATTTGCTGAAAACTTCAGATTGACATGCTCTGCGTCCAATGAAGATCAAGGCCCTTAAGCTCTAGGACAACTCAGAATCCAGGACTCCACCTTTTCTTTGAGGCCTTAGTGTCCAGGGCTAGCCTTTAGGTCCACACAAGTCCTGTCCTTTTAATTTTACGATTATTAGCGACACTATAATGGTCCAATGTGGAGGCACCCTGGATTGGGGAAACTTCTGTAAAGGGTGGAGAGGAAACATTTTAGGTTCTGCAAGGCCCAGAAGCAATATGGAGACTATTATGTAATTACTATCACTAAGTAGGTTTCCTGCCTTCCATAGGACACATACTCCTCTTTGTACCATGATTTTTTTTTTTTTTTTTTTTTTTTTTTTTTTTTTTTTTTTGAGACAGAGTCTTGCTTTATCGCCCAGGCTGGAGTGCAGTGGCGTGATCTCGGCTCACTGCAAGCTCCACCTCCCAGGTTCACGCCATTCTCCTGCCTCAGTCTCCCGAGTAGCTGGGGTTACAGGTGCCCGCCACCATGCTCGGCTAATTTTTTTTGTATTTTTAGTAGAGACTGGGTTTCACTGTGTCAGCCAGGATGGTCTCAATCTCCTGACCTCGTGATCTGCCAGCCTCAGCCTTCCAAAGTGCTGGGATTACAGGCATGAGCCACCGTGCCTGGCCTGTACCACCATTCTTTTCTGTATTTGCCTGGTCAGTGCCCTCCGATCTTCTTCACCTCCTACCTGAAGTGATCAACCTTATTCATTAAACCATTTATTTATTCATTTACCAAATTTATTGAGTGCCTTCCATGTACCAATGCCATGCCTCCTTACAAATGTCATTTGTACCTCTTGCTTGTTTGACTGATGAAATCCAAAGATGACAGATTGCTCATGGTTTACATCCTAGTACCTCTTCCCCCATCATTCCTATGCCCCTCTTTGGGGTGGCGGTTAGCTCAGACCTCTGGAAGCTAAGCCCTCTCAGCTGCATAATGTCAACGTTCCAATATATTTGCCGAGACTCCAGTTTATACTAAATCATTTCCTCTTCAGTTGCCTTGTCCACTTATCAATGAGTGTGAAACACAATGTGATGACTGCTGTCAATTGTGAGGTCTCTAGGGCAAAAAGAGCACAGCAGTAGCTGCTTCTTTCTGCAGGGAGATAGGACTGGGCACTGGGCTTGTTGTGGAGCAAGTTGTTGTCAAGGAATGAGGCAGATCCTGGAGGAGATGGTTCTGTTGCAGTGGCAGTAAGCTATCTTAACAGTTGTTTCCAAGTCCCTGGGAGGGGAAACTAGTTAGCACCAGCAAACAGAAGAGAAAGGAAAAAGCTGAGCAGGTGTGCTTTCAAGAAGTGAAGTGAAACTACCTGAAGTGAAACTGAGGGAGAATGTCCTCCCAGCTCCCGCATTGGGGCTCTCTTCATGGCAAGTACGTGAGCCAGAAGTCCATGGAACAATCTCCATAGCCTTGGTTATCTGGCTGAGCCTGTTGCCTGCAGATGCAGACCCATCCAGGATGTCACATTCCCTTATCTCTGGTGTATAGTTGCTACCTTTCCTTTATCTCCAGCTATCCCATCAATGACATCTGATCTTTGCCAAGTCAGGTAGTTGGCACAACCCAGGATTTCAGATTTTCTTAGGGAAAGGTGCTCTCTTTCCCCACCCCACCTCCGTCTATCAGTCAACAGAAGTGGCCAAGTCCTTTCCATTTGCAGACCCACCATCAGGGTCAAAGTGGGCCAGAGGGAGAGACCTAAAGCCACAACCACCCTGAGAGATTTCCACTTAATGTTGGGATGGTAGGGAACACCCCTGGAAGACCAGCCCAAAGATCTCCTTTACAGTCTGGCTCAAAACTCATCGGCTCCAGGCAGCCTACTTTTCTATATCTGTCCCCCACCACCCTCACCAGACACTATCCTGAATGACAGTGATATGCATGGACATGGTTTAGCTCATCTAAGAAAGCACAGGTCCTTTAGGGTGAACGTCCAGGCCTGCCTCAAGTTTGTAACACCCAGAGTGCCTGCCACAGGGCTCTGCACCAGGTCAGTGTTTGGTAAATGTTTGCTAAATGAAGCAAAGGGCTTTGGAATCACTATCACCATGAATGGTGTTTCTCTTCTACCTGCCTAGGGCTTGACTGTCTACAAAGGGCCTTGCTATCCCCTCTTCCTTTCTCTCTTGGGATCGTCTCCCTGGCCTCGTGTGAGATTTCTGCTTTTGCAACCTAGTGTGATTCTGCTGTGAGGCTGGGGACAATGAGGGATCTCATTCCTCAGGAGAGACCCTGCCCCCGCCCCCCACATACAGGGAGCGACTTGGTCCCTTGCTTGCCTCCTAGTCTACTGTGTCACAGCCAGAGTAGGCTGTGGGTGCCTACTCTGTGCCTACTCTGGCACAAGAGCCCCATCTCCCTCCAGGCGGGGGAGAGCCCACAGTCCTCAAGTCCAGCACTTCCTGCTGCTCATGGAAGCCACGAGAGGGGTGGGGGACAGTCTGGAATGCTGGTCTCTCTTGGGATTTGACCTTGACCCCCACATCCCAAGGAGTCATTGCACAGACTCTGTGACTTTGAGCTCAGCCCCTGGGAGTGGAGTTGCATGTCAAGGCTCCATTCTTCCAATTCTGGGCAAGTCTGCACCACCACAGGCTCCTTTTCACTTACAGGCTCATCTAGCTTGTGGGGTTTATGCCTTTCCTTGCATCCTCAGTCTTCTTCCCTACACTGAAGTTTGTTCATCATTCTTGGTGACTTTAACATCCACAGGGATGACTCATCCCACGCCCTGGAATTCCACTTCCATGACCTCCTCATCTGATCTTTTCTCCAACCTTACATCAGATACTTACCCCCATGGTCCTATACTAGCCTTTTCCATTTTCCATTAACAGAAATGGCACCATTTAGAAAATTTTTTCTCTACTGCTACAATGTTTCAATTCCATCAGATTATTTCCCCAATCTGCTGACCTAACCACTTTTTCACTCTACCTTCCTACCATCTTCTTCATTTGCCTACTTACATAAATTCCATCCATTATGTGTTGTTATTATCACAGGCAGAATGCTGGCCTCCCCAAAGATGCCTGTGTCCTAATCCCCAGAACCCTGTGGGTCTGTTAGGTTACCTGGCAGAGGGGAATTAAGGTTGCAGATAGAGTTAATGTTGCTAATCAGTTGACTTTAGGATAGGGAGATTATTCTGGATTAGCCAGATAGGCCCAATGCAATCACAAGCGTCCTTAAAAGTGGGAGAAGGAATTAGAAGAGAGAACCAAAGAGATGGCAGCATGAGAAAGACTTGGCCTGATGTTGCTGGCTTTAAAGATGGAAGAAGTTCGGAACTATAAGCCAGTGAATGTGGGCAGGCTGTACAAGCTGGAAAAGTCAAAGAAACAGATTCTCCTCTAGTGTCTCCAGAAGGAATACAGCTCTGCCCACACCTTGATTTCAGCTCAATGATACTTCCGACCTCTGCAACTCTAATATTGTAAGTCTGTATTTTAAGCCACAAAGTTTGTGGTGATTTGTTACAGCAGCAATAGGAAACCAATACCTACTCACGTTAAAGTCACTCCATTCCCTTTCTCCTCTTAGCTCTCTATCATATCTACTAGGCAAAACCCCAGCTCTAGTTGAATTGCATTCTATTACTTTTTCCTTGCCACTAAATGAAGCAGATAAAAATATTGAAAATTGGTTGACTAAGTTGACTAAAAATTTGTGGTCATGAGTACATTCAGGACTGTTTGGTAACCACAGTTTCACTACACTTTCTCTCCACCCCAAATTGTTGACAATTTTGCCATTGAACACACAAACATTTCTGTTTCTTAACTTCTACATTTCCAATGATTTGCCATCTACCCTACCTCATCCACTTACTCTCAGGACCATGCCAAGGATCCTGTACTTTTCTTAATGAAAATATGCATCACTCCCAAAATCTCAAGGTTAAAAAATCTTAAGAATTCCACACTCTGACCACCACTTCTTATTTTGGGTGCCCTTGCTCCGATTGTGGTCCCCAATGACCACCATGTGGTCAAAGCCATCAGTCTCTTTCTATTCTCAATTTTCTTGATCTTTCAGCAGCAGCTACCCACATTACTCTTCCTTAAACAGCCTCTTTCAGGATTTCTGTGGCATTACAGTTTTCTGAGTTTTCTCCTCTTTGGCCACTCTTTACCTCATTCCCCCAAAACTAGAGTTTCTCTGGGCTCTGTTCTGGGACTTTGCCTCTCTATACTCCCTTCCCTCAGTAATCTAATCTTTGTTTCAAGGCCTTGAAGATAACCCAATGATTATAATTTCCAAATTGATATTTGTGTCTCAAACCCCTCTTCCAAGTTTATAACAAATTTGACTTGGTATCTCCACTTGAGTATCTCACAGATCTCTCCAACTTGAAGTAGCTAAAATGTCATTCTTGACTTGCTCCTCCTCTCTGCTTGTTCTTCCTTCTTAAGAAATGGCACTTCTACCCACCAAGATGCTTTAATCGGAAACCTAGTTGCCCTCTTTAGTTCCTTTCTACATCCATTCCATCTGTCAGTTTACCTCCTAAACGTCTCTCACATCTGTCCATTTCTCACCTCTTCAACTATTAATACTCTCATTCTAATGCAAACCATTAGAATTTCTGATTCGACTACTCAATAGCCTCCTAATTGAT